AGCAGGAGGAGACACCTATATTTTTCCTTGAAAAACCCTAAAAAGGTGAAAAATCATGTGTCATAGCCCAGCTGCAATGCCCTATTATGAATGGTGAGTACACATGTCCACTATTCTCATGAATTAGGTAAGATGAAGTTACAAAGATGATTATTATAAATGTACAATAGTGATTTATCGTTAATATGCATAGTTTGGTTATAATGAATGTAATTCTCTGTGATAGTAGGTTGCAAGGGCCTTAGTTGATTGTTACAGAGAGAATAATCCATCGTGAATGTTGTAGATGGTGGTCATGGCTCTCGCTTATCGTATGGATCGTAGTTGAAAATTCAAGGTAGTACTTAGCTTTGTGTGTCATAGATGGTTGCCTTTGGAGTGTTAGTTGGTTACAAATGACATATAGGAAGCTTCAAGAGCTATGAGCAAAATAGGTCATAGTGGCGTGTTACTATAATATTGGCAGGTCGTAGAGAATAGGTATTGGGGGTTGTGTAGGCTGTAAGATGTGTGGGTTGTAGTTTGTCATATAAGTCATAGAGGGGTAACAAACTGAGTTGTGGGTTGTGTAGGCTGTAGTTTGTCATATAAGTCATAAAGGGGAACTATGATGACATATGTAGACCACGAAAGCAGGAGTCGAAAGTTGCACAAGCCGTAAGCCATGTAGGTCAAAGTTGGTCATATAGGTCATAGTAGCTAGTTGTGATATGTTCGCAGGATGCAAAAGTCAAAATTGGGAGTTGCACCACATGTAAATCACATGGGTCGTAGTTTGTTATATTGGTCGTAGTGGTGAGTTGTGATAACGACCGTGGCTTTAGAGGCTGGAGTCAGGAGCTGCACAAGCTATGAACCACATAGGATGTAGTTGGTTACATAGGTTGTGGTGAGATGTGATGAAGTATGTAAGCTACAAGGGTTGAAGTCGGAAGTTGCACGAGTCGTGGACCACATAGGTCATAGTTAGTCACGTAGGTCGTAATGGGGAGCAAGTATGACATCCTGTTGGCATCAAATTTTGATCACATGTGTAGGGTGTCCGCTTGACTGGCACAGGATAATCCAAGGCTCATTCATAGCATCCTGTAGCTCAAGGCACTCATTTGAGACCTACAATACGTGATCGAGACATGAAACTAGGGCACACTACGATTCATCATTACCCGAGAGAATCCACCGTTGAGCGGGCGTACTCAGGACATTGAAAGTATTTAATGTCTTTCTTGGTGTTTATAGGTCCCTCTGTATTTGGAGCCTCCCCCGGGTTAAGAGAAGTCATGAAGCCCTCATGCACACACTATGGAAAAATTCATCATAAAGTCGTGTTAACCTCAACTCCAGACAAATTTTTAATCTGTTTTGATGTTGAAAGACCCAACTACATCAATGCAGATTCTTCTGAGGCCAAGGATAGTCGTCGGGATTCCCTACTCACATCTTGAAGAAATTCAGGTTTGTACCGATTTTGCTCTCGTGGGGGTCTAAGATGTATGTCAGCACCAAAAACCCCATTTTGAAACACTAAAAATGTTCATTTCTGAGTTATAGGGTCGTATTCCAACAACACACAAGTTTCCATGGATTCTGAGAACCTTCATATGGTCATCTGGGCAAAAATTAAGGTTTTGAACACCCTACCCGCGCAGTGGTCCGAGGCGACCATTAGCGATGATTTCTTCGACAAATGATCGATAAGAATACATATTTTTGAAGTTCTATCTTTCTTTCATTTGTGGTCCCCATAGCTCATTGATAAAAAAAACTTTCTACCAGACGATCTACATGAAATTCAGCATTTTTGAGTTAGACTAATGCTGAGGAGCCAGCCTCCCATAAAGTCACTGTCTTCGAGGTACATTGTTACACCATCTTCAGAAGATTTCGTTGCACTGTATGTCGAGTGTGTTATTACACCATCATCGAGGCGTGCATTGCACCATTTTTGGGGAACATTATTACACCATCTTCGAGAGGCGTTGTTGCATTGTATGTGAGGGTGTGTTGTTATGTAAGTTATCCCGTTATTTTGTAATGTATATAAGGATTCTGCAGTGCACGTCGTGATTTCACAAAGGGTTTCATTGCAAGGATTTAAGGGTGATCGCGGTGGTCGACAGTGTCTACATAGTGGTGGTCGATGGCGACAGGAGTGTGAGATTTTTATATGCAATGCAAAAGTGATGCAGGTCTTCAGCTCCTCCAATTTTCAAACTTCTTTTTGCTCAAGGTCACCTCTCTCAATAAGGACTAGGGCTCTATTTCTAAAGTCTGGATTGTAATAAGAAAGGAATCAAGGCCAGTCTGATCAAACGGCCTGAGGAGGTTTTGTCAATCGGACGATGTTCTGTTAACTTTCAAGTGTCTTAATAACGTAAGAATTGAGTGATAACAGGCTTGTTGGATTCATCTTATTGAGATACTTGATTTGACTATAGACTTGTTATGTTTGTAATATATTTGACCTTCTAAGTATGCATTGAAATTTTCCTAAAGCAGTTTAACTACTTGATTTGGACTTTATTCTACTTAGATTGGACTAATTTTGGCATCTTGGGGTCCGTCTCATCAAGCCCGCGACTATATATTCGCTGAAATCAAAGTCTTGACAACTTTTAATCGAAGTTTGAATGTTTCTTGCTCAAAAAACAACCTCAAGGGTCATGCAAATCGCCCTGGGATTTATGCCAAAGAATTCGAGATTCATGCTAAACGACAATTTTGTCGATGATGTAAGTCAATTAGGGACAATAATTTTGATAAAATCTCAGATAAGAAAATATTTGAATTTCAGAACAAGCTTGTACGTTTCGATTTAAACTCCCAATATTAATATTACTATTTGGCTCTATTTTAATCAAAATTGGACCCCAATTTTTTCTTGTCTCCTCACTTTCTGAGAAAAAAATAAAAAAAATTCAAATTTCAAATCTATGACAGTTGTAGCTTTAAATTGTAATTGTAGCATAATCCATTATTGCCATTGCCTTAACATCATAACATATGACCCTTCATAAATCTACCCTTAATTATGGCAATTATCCCCCCTAAATTTAAGGAAAATATATTAAATACGAAATCTCCTCACGTGGGATATGATGCGAAGCTAATTGACCATTCACAATTTCTAAGAATGTTTGTTCATCATACAAACTTTAACATGAAAAATAAAATATAAAATGATAGGTGGTGTATGATAAAAATTGTTCGAGATAGGACGCTGAGTCGACCAGTTTGTTGAATTAGAACAACAGATAATCATACTGATGGACCGAAAAACCCGACCAAAATACATTGTAAAGACGGTTTATACCTGAAACTGAAAAATACAAAACGATTAAAGTGACCTTGTACAGTCTGTTTGTCGAATAGAGCTTTTTAATGAGAAAATTCCAACAACGCTAGAAATTTTTTATCCGAGTTCAAATTAGTTAAAATCAAGCATTTGATGAACGGTCAGTCAATCTTTGAATTCAACATTCTTATATTTAAATGGAGGTTCTCAATGAGACAAATTCAATGAGTCTCAAATCAGTTAATTTTTTAAGTTATTAAAAAACTCAAATATTGGACGTGTATTATTGAATAAATCAACATAAGATATCCAATAAAGGTGTTTTAAACTCTATTACTTTGTTTTTTTTTTTTTTAATATTATTTTAAAAAAATTATAAATAAGAGCTCATTCTTCATATGAAGGAGACCGAGACATACCTTATAGAAGACTTGAAATTATGAAAAACTCTAGGACTCTATCTATTATTTGACGTTGACAATCACCACTAACCATTGTTATCATCTAATTGCAATCATTTGATCATTGGCAATCAATTGTCAGTCTGATCACAACCACCCAGTCATCCTAATTCATTCGTCATTTAATCATTACTGCGAACTATCTTTGGCTAATTATGTAATAAAAATGCTTCTTATTTAAAAAATAATAATAATAAAGCTAAGTGATCAGTTGAGATCACTATTGATTTTATTTTTCAATTTTTTTTTTTACTTTTCTTTTATTTTAACTTAAAATGAAAAATATTTGATATGTTCTAATACAATTAGTTGTTTTTAAAAATATTGAAATTAACTTTTAGATATTTTGAGTATTTTAATCCAAAATAATTTATTTTTTAAAATAAAAAAAATAAAAAAATGCTCTAATTAAATCTATATTAAAATAAAAACAAAAATTAAAAAAAAATTGATCCCGAACAAACCCTAAGAAAATTAAAAACACTAACTCAAAATGGGCAAAGTATTTAAAATTAAATATAAAAAATATGTGTAAGAAAATATCAAAATTCTTTCAAGAAAAATAAAATTAGGTTAGAATACCATGCTTTAAATTTAATCGAAAAATAATTATTAATTATTAAAATTATATTAAAATTAAAATAATAAATTAATAATCAACTAGAATAGTTTATTAAAATCAATTTTTTAGTAAAAAAAAATTACCTAATGAATTATCTCTTTTAATAGAATGACACGTCGGCGGTGATAACATACCATTTTGAGAAATTAAAACTTATCCAAAACCCTAAAAATACACCATGAGGAACAATTACAACTGCCGGAGACGGAATAGGATAGTAAAATTCGGTAAACATACCTCCATATTATTCTATCTTATATGGGAACCACAGAAACCCCAACCACGTGCGAGCTTATCGGTAACTATCACTTCCGGTTACTGCACTCTTCTTCTCCCGCCCAAACCCTCGTACCAAAAAAACAAACGAAACGATACGATTCTCTGTCCCACAGCTCTTAGCAAACTCCACCTACGTGGACAAATCGTAGCCGAAATACACCCATTTCACTCTCCTCTTTCGGGGAAGTTAAATTGATCACTGGCACACCAGACCGCGAACGAGTCGGGTTTTGTGAAGGCTATAAAAGAGGGAAGATGAAAGCTTTTACTTATTTTATCCGAGCTCGGCTCGTCACCTTCGTCTTCTTCTCCGGCGGCAACAGAGGGCTGAAAGTTGGTAAATTAGGGGGGTTAGATTTTAGTTCTTAGAAGCAGTAATAATGGGTTCAGAAGATGAAGTGCAGGATCGGCGGCAGCCTGATATAAGCCTGGTGCGGCTCATTTTTTGTTGCACAGTCGCCGGAGGGGTGCAGTATGGCTGGGCTCTCCAGCTTTCTCTCCTAACTCCCTATGTCCAGGTTTGATGCCTTCTTTTGATCAGGTTTAAGATGGAGAATTGAGTTGGAAATTTGGGAAAGGTGATTCAATCTAATTAAAAAATTTAACCTTTTTTTTTCTCAAATTGCCCTGTATTGCTATTTAGTGAATATGGGCTGAACCTGGGAAGATTCTAGCTCATTGGTTTTCAAAATGTTTGGTTAAATTTTGAAATCATGGTTTGAACCGAAGTACATTTATAGCAATGAAAATTATGATTTTTTATTAATTTTATTATTTTTGCCGTAATTGGTGCAGACTCTTGGGCTCCCTCATGCTTTGGCTTCTATCATGTGGCTTTGCGGTCCCGTTGCAGGGTTTATTGTAAGTATTCAAAGCCATTGTGCTTTGCTTTCGTTTCCATGGATTTGAATCCAATGAGCTATTATTTTTTTGTTAAATTAGGTTGGACCTACTGTTGGCTTTTTTAGTGATAGATGCAACTCAAGTTTTGGCCGGAGGAGGCCATTTATTCTTACAGGATGCCTCATTATCTGCTTATCTGTCAGTGATCTCTTTCTCTCTCTCTCTGGTTGATTTCTTTTGCTTGTTGCATCATATCATTTGAGTTTGAATTTTATTCATGTAGGTGATGGTGATTGGGTACTCATCAGACATTGGAACAGCACTGGGAGATACAAAGGAAAACTGCAGGTATATTTTTACATTTATATTTAAAACATAAGTAAATAAAAAAATAAAAAACTTTTGTCTTGATTCTAAAAAGAAGAGAGTCTGAGTGTGCGTGTGAACCCTTTGAACAGTACCTATGTTGGTCCTCGTTGGAAAGCTGCTCTTATATATGTGATTGGCTTTTGGGTGCTGGATTTCTCTAACAATGCAGTTCAGGTAAGTTTCAAAAATGACTTCTTTTATTCATTTATGGTGAATTTTGAAGTCTTAACTACTTCTGCATGAAGAAAATTGTATTGTGCATGGAAGAATTAGCAAGTATTATAGATTTGAAGAGTTGCGTTGGTTTCTCTTTTGATTCCTGTTGCAGGGACCTGCTCGAGCAATGATGGCTGATCTATCTGGTAAGTTTTCTTCTTTAGGTTGTGTTGTTTCCATAGATTACGTGAAGGCAGCAATTTTATTGATTATAAATCCATTATTGTCATTTTTTTTGTATAGGAAAACATGGATGCAGCGCAGGAAATATCATATATGCCTTTTGGATGGCTTTGGGAAACGTTCTGGGTTATGCTTCCGGGGCCAGTGGAGCTTGGCACAAGTTGGTTTGATATGGATCTTTCCAAAAAAAAAATAAATAATATTTTTTTTTATTTTTTTGAGAACTTATAAAAATGTGCTTTTTCACAGGCTGATGCCTTTCTTGATGACAAATTCATGCTGTGAATCCTGTGCAAACTTGAAGGGTGCCTTCTTGGTTGCAGTGGTAAGTTAGATTGGTTTTAGAACTTATGTTTAGAATGCTGGATTTATGAATGGTTTGTAAGGATAAATAAAAGATTCACTTTACGCTGTAGAAGCATTAAAACAAGCAGGAAAGATAAACTTTGATTTAGACTTTTGAAACTAAACTTATTCTGATTTTCTTCTCTCTTTTCAGTATCTTCAAGTTCCTCACAAAAGAAAAATATATTTTCAAGCTTTCACGCAGCATTACATCATATATTTTCAAGCTTTCACGCAAAAAAATTAATAATAATAATAAAGTCATTTGATTTGGATAAGCTCCTAAGCTCTTCTCTACATCCAGATATTCCTTGGATTATGTTTGACAGTAACTCTCATCTGTGCAAAAGAAGTTCCACTCTCCCAGTTGGATGCCAATGTGTTGCAGCAAAATTCTGGCTTTTTCTCTGTGTTCAAAGCCTTCAAAAACTTACCAACTGGAATGCCTTCTGTTCTTCTTGTGACATGTCTCACCTGGGTGTGTTTCTAATTTCATTATGCTATCAGCTGTTTCTTCTTCGCTGAAAGAATATGAACATTTTTGTTTCAGTTCCTCACTATCTCAGATAATATTAAATGCAGCTGGCCTGGTTCCCTTTCATTCTTTACAACACTGACTGGATGGGTCGTGAGATCTACCATGGTGATCCAAGTGGAACAAAATATGAAATTGAAGCCTATAATAAGGGTGTTCAACAAGGAGCATTTGGCTTGCTGCTGAATTCTGTAATAAAAAATGCTTTTTTCTTCATCTTCTTCCTTCTCTGATTACTTTAAGGCTTAACCTCATGGTCTAAAAGCATGTTGTTTCCAATGATTAGATTCTTCTTGGAATCACTTCAATTCTTCTTGAGCCTATGCGCCGCAAAATCACAACAAGATTTGTGTGGGTCATTGGCAACTTCACCCTTTTCTTAGGCATGGTTGCCATGACAGTCCTTAGTTTAATTTCCACACATGGTTATAAAACAAAACTCAGCTACGTGGCTAATGGGGAAGAGGGTATCAAAATTGGAGCTTTGGCTATATTTACAATCCTTGGATTTCCTATGGCTGTTAGTATCATTCTCTGCTCATCTCTTCTCTATCTATTTTCAAATTCCATGCCTTGAAGTATTTCTAAAAACATCTAAGTATTAAATTTTATTGCAGATTTTATATAGTATTCCTTTTGCTACTGCTGCACAGCTTGCTGCAAATGAAGGAGGCACACAACAGGGTTGGTTTGGTTTCATCTTCTGTAAATTCACTACTTTTAGTTCTTCAAAATAAGGCTCCATATACTGAAACTATGCATCTTTTATGATCAACTCTTCAGGACTGGTCACCGGTGTTCTTAATCTCTCCATCGTCGTTCCTCAGGTGAGTTATTCTGATTGTACTGAATTTTAAACAAATCCTATGTTATATAGAAGAGGTTGATAATGCATAAGTAGAAGATGATTTGGTTATACATTTTTTTAATTTTATGATATTATATAAAAATGATGTTGACCATATGTTGGCAGATATTCATGTGGCATTTTTTTTTTATTGTGAAGTATAATTTAATGAGGATTAAGAAAGATCTAATTCAAATCAGAGAGTGGAAATAAATTAGAAAGAATTTTCATGCACAAAACACATCAAAACACTGAATATTCTGTTTTTTAAACGCCATTTTCTCATTCCTTGTAATTGGAATTTATGCATGCAGGTGATCGTAGCTCTTAGTGCTGGCCCTTGGGATGCTCTCTTTGGCAAGGGCAACATCCCAGCCTTTGCGCTCGCCGGCGGCATCGCCATTGTTGGCACCTTTGTTGGCCTGGCTAAGCTTCCCAATATCTCTAATGACTATATAAAGAGCGACAGCTTTGGATCTATGCACTAATGAGTTCAAGGGTGGAATTCTTCTAAGCTTCAAAAAATTTGTTAGGTTTATGGATGATAGAGGAGATGGAGGCAGCCATGCTTTTGCTCTCCTCATATATAATTATTAAAAATATTCAGAACCAATTGAAATTATTTTCCTCATGAATAAATAACACAAACATTTAAATTTTTTGTACTGACCATTTGAGAAGATACAATACCTTGTTTGAGGATGTTTTCATAGGTTGGTGACCAGACCTATGCAAAGCTAATATGCTGTATATGCTGAGTCAGATCATTTGACTTCTAAAGTCAACTTGATTTGTTAAATAAAGTATTTTTTTTTCTTTTGATGTGAGAAGTGCATTTATTGTGTGTTTTTCTATCTATTTTTATTTATCATTTATTTACTTTTTTTTATTGAGAAATGCTAGAACCTCTAAGATTGGGAAAAGTATTACAAAGGATTCTGGATGCATTCGGAGTCCAATAGTGGAGCGCCACATGTCAAGTGGGTTTCACTATTTTTAACATTGGTCAATACCAATGTATTGTGGTGGGGCCCACTTGACACGTGGCGCTCCACCGTTGAACTCCTGATGTAGTATTTTCTCGATTGGAAAAAATTACTGCAGTTCTCTTGTGAATTCTTGTGAATTTTTATACTTATCATCTTTTTTTTTTTTTAATTATGATTGTTTTATCTATTATTTTCCTAGATATGGTGATAGTGTATAGTGAAATTACATCTTTCTTCATGATCTTCTTGGCTAAAAATGACAATCTCACTCGATTAAGAAAATCAAAGTTAAATTATATTTTCATGTGAAAATTTTAAAATAAAGCACATAGGTCTAGCTCAATTGAAATGTTTTTCGTTAATAGAAGCATCAATAGTTTAGGATATTGTAAATATCTTTGCGATGACAATACCAAAAAAGTTTGGAGTGATCATATTAGTCCCTTTTATACAAGCGAAAGTATCATTAGATTTGAGTCGTGAGACAACACTGCAAAGTGGTTATGAGTGAGTGTCATATGAGATTTGCTATATTGATCCTCCCTTGGAAGTCATGATGACACTTCTTGTGGTATGGTAGTATATGAAGATCATCGAGGTCACTAAAGATGTAGTATATTAGTCTTTTATTGAAGGTGAAGAAGATAAATTTAAGATGAAGATAGAATTATGTAGAAAGGTTGTTAAATTCACAAAGATAATTGGGTTCGTCGTTCTTTGAAAGTTAAAATTAGATGACCTTAAAGTGAAGGTCTTTAAAGACATTGAAGATAAGGGCAGACCCACATAGTGTCTAGTGGGCAATCGCCTCCCCTCCTCTCCAACACTTACATTTAAATTTTTACTCATATGAGAAGACAATTTGTTCTTTTGCTCCTCTCTTGAAATATTAGTTTTGCCCCTCTTGTAATATCACTTTTCTTTTTGTTGCCCTTGCCCCTCCCATATGGGTCTAGGGGGTAGTTTGGCCCTCTCAAAAAAGTGTGGTTCTATCCCTGAACAAAGATGATCTTATCGGTTCTCTCATAGAGATTAATATGAATAACGTGAAAAATATTGAAATAGTAGTTAGTTTTAAAGATTCATTTAAGTTATGGAGACAAGTTTCTTTTTTTTAAATATTTTTTAAGAAAATATAAAGGTCTCCGGTTGCCTTTTATCCTTGTTGTTATTTACCCCATTTTACTTGCAGGACATGTACTCACCCTCATTTGCATTCAATACATTCAAAACAAATCATATTAAAAGTAAAATATTTCAATATGTATAACTTGCGTCTGATTAAATACTTTGTGTACAAATTAATTTGTTTTAATGGCCCAAAAGCAGGATCAATCTATTCACATTATATTATGAAATGTTCTTTATTGCAAAACTTGTGGTGATGTCAATGGGCCTTCAAGCCACTTATGGCATACATCTAATCACGACAAAACTATGGGCCCAAAGGCCCATGTTTGGCATATGAGATTTCAGGTTCAATCTTGATCATTTTGAGTTGTTTAAATTCATAAATTTTCCGGGAAATGAAAAAAAGAGTGAGTAGAACTAATTAAATAGAGAAAATGTGATTTTTTATGCATAGATTTCTATTTAGTTGATGAAAGTATTCAATATTAAATATGTTGAGTTTGAATTTTGAGGGCAATATGAATCAAACACTGACTTATATGGGTCTATTTTGCCCTTTTGTTAGCTTAAAATATTGGAAGATGGTATTGGAAAAATAGCTAACTTCTCACTATATTCCTAATTTTTCCAAGCCACCTCAATGTAATCCTTATAATTCCACATCTATCTTCTTTTTTTATTTTGTCAACTCTAAATACCCACCTAAACTTTCAGACCATTTAATGAATGACATAATAATATAAAAATCATAGAACAACATGTGGCAGTATCGTTTTATCAAAAAAGTTTAGGTGAAATGTTAGTGAATACTATATGCAGAGGTGAAATCAGATTATGTCTAGAGTGGAAAATTGTCCCCTCTAGAATTTGCAAATTCTCTATGTAAACATTCAAATTTAACTTTTTTGTTTCTTATGTGCTTTACGATATATATATCTGTGTGTGTGTGTGTGTGTGTGTGTTGTGTGTGTGTGTGTGTGTGTGTGTGTGTGTGTGTGTGTGTGTGTGTGTGTGTGTGTAAAATGACATAAAAAGTCATATTATTATTTTTTTATTTCATGCAATTTGAAAGTCACTTCAGTTCGAGATCAAATATTTAAATGAGCTATATATATGATAAAATTATCTTATAAATTTTAAAATAAAATATGCAGATAATTTTAATGATGTTGAATTAATTGGTTGATTTAATTTAAAATTTGAAGGTCATAACATCAAAATCTGATTTAATGGAGAATAATTATTTTTTAATTGCAACAAAAAAAGTTCATACCATATAGAGTTTCATTTAGAATATATCAACATATATAATCATTTATCAGTCATCCTAATAAAAAATATTGATCAAGACATAATAACCTTTACTACATCATGTTTAAGTAGTGGTGTTAATTTGGTTGATGAGTTGGGTTTGGGCCATATCCTAAGGTCATTTGACTTGACTTAACTCAAATTTTTTTTGTATATTATATTGGCATGGATATTTGACTTGAATTGGACTTCAAGTAAACATAAAATGTGCAACCTATTTATTAGATAAATTATTTGAGTCATGATATTACAAGCATGTTTTCTTTTACAAAACATGATATTACAAGAAAGTTGACGAATGTTTGACCCATCTCACAAAACATGATATGACAAGCATGATTGATATAGCCCAAACCCAAATCTCTTGTACATCGTTTATAAGATTATGCATAATGAAAGCTAGATGATGTGTATGAATTGTAGAAAATTATACCTTTCTTCAATGCTCCTTTAATGACAAATGATCATACATATTTTCTACCTTTGTTCGTAAGGGGTTGTAAGAAAAGAATAAGCTTCTATACGCGCCTCACTTTTTTTTGTTTTTAACAAATTAAATTGCCATGACAATGATATATGCCACACTTTTGAGTTAGAGAAGAGAATTGTTATTTATTGATTTGATTGCATGGATATGAATTATATTTTATAAGAATTCATCAATCGAAAATCAAGCCCATTTATTATGTGATATTACTAAGAAGTTGTTTGGGATCACTTTTTTTATATTTTCTCTTTATTTTAGAAATATATTTATTCAGTGCATTTATTGCATGCATATTGTTATTTTTAATTTTCAAACATAATTTAACTTATATTTAAAAACACTCAAAATATTCATAAATTAGTATGTGTGTTTTTTTTAAATAAGCGTGTTGTAATATACCAATAATATTTTATTTCATAGAAAAAAAATAAACAAAATAAATTAATAATGTTATTATTTTTACCTAAGAGCCATTTTATTTAGTAGTTGATATCACTATATATGTTTTGTTACAATTATTTTACATTTTATTTTCTTTTTAATTTGGCTTTTTTACTTGTATAATCTTATTTTGTTTTTAATATTGTTGAGCCCTAAAAAAATATATGGATCTGATGCCTACATGCACATCAATGATCATCATCATTGGACCCAAATAATAATAGTAATAATAAATAAATAAATAAATTGTGGATATATTTTAAAAAATTTCACATATGAAAACTAGTCTCACAATTTTGTTTTTATTTTTTATTTCTATTTTTATTTTTCTTTTTTGAACAATAATTACTTTATCAATATGAATAAGACAAACAAACATCATTTTCTTAAAAAACAAAATTTGCAGCTATTTATTTATTTATTTTCCAATCAATATGAATGTTTAGGTGTTAGATATGTAAGTACATAGGAATTTTGGGGTGTGTATGTAAATGCTCTTAAATTTAGACCTAGAGATAGAGCTCGGGATGCACCTTCTGCTACTACTTCTAGACCTTCTACTTCCACTGCTACTGAGCCTCCATTTGGATTTTGGGATGTGTTGATTGAGACATATTTGGAACACCAGAATTATATGTTTATGATACATTGTCGTAAACAAGATATGGAAGAAAATTTTGATCATAAGACATTATGTTTGGAGGAAAAGTGATTATGATGTTGATTATGATAAGGCATCACTGAAATTCATGAAGGGAGATCAATCTGTTGAATTTTCTACATGCCCTTGATTTACATCTTTTGAGATCCACAAGTCTATGGATGAAGATATCCCCTTTGGTTTTGATGATAATGATGATGATAAGGAAGAGGATTCGACTTCATTATTTTTTTTTGTAGTAGTTATGATTTTTAGATCTTTCTCATGATGAACTATTTATGTATGTTTCATTACTCTATGTACTTTTATTTTGATGTTACTTTTGTTACTTTTTTACTTAGTATTAAGTATGTTAGAGTAGTCTTTTACATTGCAACTTTTCATGATATAATTGTTTTAATTTAAATTGTCTACTACTCAACATTTGTTTTTATTAATTTTACCCGTACTGTTCTCAGCTTAAAAATTTTAAATTTTTCTCTATATTCATGCTTAATATAAACTGAATGGTTTTAAAATTTAAGTTTGGAGGAGGAAAAAAATTTATTTTAAAATGAACCTTATCTGCCCTGAGTAAAATATATTTTCAAAAACTATTTTAATTTAACATGTGG